AGAAGCAGATGCGGCAAAAGCAGTTCTAGTTATTGGTTGCTCGTCAACCGAATACGGAAGAGACCCGGTACCCAACCTCATGGTACCAGGAGCAGCGACTGGGAGTCAGAAGCGAGAGTTGGAATCTTCCACTGTATCACACCCCCTAGAGTGCATGGATGTCGTCCTTGGTTGGTGTAACTAGCTCAACAGATCGAGGTCGTTGTCTTATATGTAGAAAAGCCCCTTCATCACTGGCTCCTCCATCATCATCGATCACCATAGTGTCTGCGGGTGGCTCATGCGTAGCGCTCTTCACCTTTTTATTTTTACCCTCGGCCGAAGAGGAACGTCGCCTTTTTTGTTGCTTGTTCTCCGGCCGGGGACTCCAAGAGGAAGCACTTGTACTGGAAGCAACTCTGATGACACCTGTTCAGGCAAAGGCCTCCTGCAACAACCTCGCCGCATTTACAGGATCAGCCAAAATGTCCTCCTCGGGGACGGTAACAGAGCCATGCGGAAGACCTTAGTTCAGCAAGAAGAGAAGTTAGCCAGGTTTTCTATGTGTGAGATAAAAACAAGATAAGTTCAACTTATCATGATTTTTGGCCTTCCACCCGTATTTAAGGCCAGTTTTTTCCACAAACGGGTCTCAGCATGGTGACATCCAAAATTTTCTGGACCCACTGGTCCAAGCCTTTAACCTTTGGTGGTGTCCATCGAGTTGTTGAATAATAATTAAAAAAAAGGATCAGTGATAGTATGGAACAACCTTTAACTAGAAAAAAGGACAGACATTGAACTTACGTGTACGATTCCATAATTCAAGAAAGGATGGAGTTGTGGCCGGGATGATGTCCCTGGTGGCAACTACAATGAACCGCTCCATCATCAGTCGAGCCAGGGAGAGCTTCTCCCCCATCTCCTGGCATAGCCGCCGAAGACAGGCTACCGTCCGACATACAAAAGGGATCACTTGTGCCAAGTTGACTTGACGGCGGAAGAAAAACTCCAAGATTACGGAGTCAAGTCCCCCGCTCAATGAGAACGGGTCCAAAGTGAAGGGATATGTATAAACGTACGTAAAACCTTCTTAGGGAAGGTCACCCGCTCCGCTAGGTCAGGAGTGATGATGTTCAAACCATGGCAACTATAGTATTCCTTCACAGCACGGATGCTAGAAGGACGGATGGAAGAAGGATATACACCAACAACACATGGTGCGGGAGTTAGCAGAAGGGAACTTCTTTTTGAAATCCTTAGCCGTAGTAAGCCTTTTGGGGATAATGATGCTCACCGTGGGAGGATCGACATCATCGGTGCTTTCTTTGTTCTTTGAAGAACTGGAGTTTTTGGAAGAGGAGTCCATAGTTAGCAGAAGGAAGGTCTTTGAAAAAGAAAGTTAAAAGCAAGAGTGACTTGAGTAAAGAGAGTTTGAGAAAGTTCAAAAAATTATGAAGTGTAAAAGAAGAAGATTTAAGCGTATAAGTAAAGGAATGGGTGGCTAAAATCGTGACCATGATTACCTCGAGAACCGGCAAAAGTATTGCTGAATTGTGGGATGATGCGTGTTCGGGGCATTAAATACGGAGAGACGTGTGTTTAATCATGCATCAGAAACTTTTCAGAGGAGGTCGGTAAATTTTTTGCCAAGAAAGGTATCTTTACCAACTTCCCGATGACACAAGGATGTGCCACCGGAAAGCACAGGGACTATCTATATAGGATAAAATCGGTCCATATTAAATGCTTGTATAATAAAGCGACACGTGGAACCAGAGACAGGTGAAAAACAAGACATGTGGAAGTCAAGACCGAGGGCAGCAGTCTCGGTTGGCACCAAGAGGGCCCCGAAGGGGATATTGCTCATAAGGACAAATGAGTGCCTGTCACCCGATAGCATTCAATGAAAAATATTCTATAGTATTAAATACATAGTCCGTTATAGAGAATATGACATTCATAGTCTGCCGTTACACATTCTTCAATAGCCCCCATAATTCATAATTGTCATTTAAGCAGGGCTTGATCCTAGGACCTTGTTTGCTAGTTGCCACTATAAATATGGATTTCAACAACCATTGTAATGGGACGGATTTTCTGACAAACTTATGCTATACAATGTTTAAAAGCTCAATAATATTTCGTTCCTTGATTATTAAGATTACTATTACTATCTTCGGAAGCTACGTTCCTCGAATAAGGCTGTTCATTGTGTTATCTCGATTTCAACGCTAAGTCTTGCATTTCTTATTTAATTTATTTATCATTTTGGAATCAAATCGATTCGATTGTCTATAAATCATGTATAAATTCAGCTAAACCGTTTTACGGGTAAACAGAACACTATTCTTCTTTTTTCTATTAATGTGAATCCTAATCTAGCTTTAGGACTTTTCTACCTTGTTTATGAGTTCATCTTCTTTTTTTTTCTATTAATGTGAATCCTAATCTAGCTTTGGGATTTGTCAACCTTGTTTCTGAGTTAATTTATGTATGATTTTTTGTCATCAACCTAAACTAGATTTTACCGACTATAACAATAAAATTATAAAAATTCTTATCACATTAGTATTAAACTCTGTCTAATTAAATTGGTCAAAATATACAAATGATCAAGATTAAATTATCAGTGTTATGACAAGATATAGCCTATCAGTAATCGAAGGGAAAAAAGTGTATATACACACACAAAGCTAAAACAGAATAAAAAAGATATCAACACCACCAATATTAATGTTTTGATATGTAATATTCAAGTTATTGTTATTAGGCTTGACCAGCAGAGTAACCTTTCCAAATGCCCGGCCCGACCCGACCACTAAAGTCGACCGAACCCTATAAGTAGCCATCCCTTCCCACTCCCACTCGGAACTGGGAAGTTGATCGGGAATAAAACCCTATGCTTTTTCTCTCTATTTTTCTACTTCTCCTACAATTCGCTTATACCCGTTTGATTGGCTAGAAATCTTGGTCCGAAGTCTGTGTTTATCAATCGAGCAATGGTGTGGTGTAGTAACTGTGAAAAGAACAGGGAACCCGCGAATCTGGATGGTAAAATATGTTGTTCCTCCTGTGGAAAAGTTCTTTACGAAGATAATTTGTCAATTGAGCCCACTTTCTTTAAGAATGCTGCTGGACAGAGCCAATTGTCAGGAAAACTTGTGCGGTCTGTCCAAAGTGATTATTCACTTTCATGTCAAAGAACAATAGATGAAGCATATAATGATATAGAGAGTATGGGATATGCATTAGGAATTGACGGTGGTGAATCAATATATAGTCCGGCGTCGCGTCTCTATACGCTAGCACTTGAAAGGAATTTCACAAGGGGTCGTTGGAAAGAGCAAGTTGAGGCTGCTTGTCTTTACATTACATGAAGACATAATAACAAGCCATTCCTACTTATTGATTTTTCTGAGTATTTGAGGATAAATGTGTATGTTTTAGGTGCTGTTTTCCTACAGCTTTGCAAACTTCTAAGCCTTGAACACGACCCGATTGTTCAAAAACCTGTTGATCCTAGCCTTTTCATTCATCGATTCACTGATCGTTTATTCAGGGGAAGGAAGCCGAATATATCTAGAACTGCACTTCACATTGTGGCGAGCATGAAGCGAGATTGGATGCAAACAGGGAGAAAGCCAAGTGGGGTATGTGGAGCTGCACTTTATATTGCTGCTCTTTCACATGGACGGAATTGTTCTAAATCAGAAATTAATAAAGTCGTGCACATTTGTGAAGCAACATTGACAAAGTGATTGATTGAATTTGAAAACACAGAATCTGGGAGCTTAACGATTGATGAGTTAAATACAAGAGCTAAGGAGCTTGAGAAAGAAGAGAGGCTAGCCCTGCAACTTTATTCAGGGTCAAAAGGATGTGGGATCACAGAAGTGCTATGTGAACACAAGAAAAGTGTGGAGCTGCCCTTTGCCCGTGGTCTATGTGAAAGTTGTTACATTGATTTTGTAAAACTTTCAGGTGGGCTTGATGGAGGATCTGAACCTCCAGCCTTCCAACGCGCTGAAAGGGAAAGATTAACGGCAAAAGAAGCTGCTGAAGATCCAAATTTTCCCATGTCCGATCAGGTGGAGAACAATGGCAGCGAGTATTTGGAGCCTGAAAATGGAGAACATGTGCAGATATCAGTCTCTGAGCAAATAGGAACTGAGCATAATGCGATTTGTGACACATTACATGGCACGGATGGTATATGTCCTGATGAACATGATGAATCGGGGAACTTTTTGGATATCGATGATGTAGAGGTTGACGATTATCTTCTAAATGAGGAGGAGAAGCAGTACAAAGAGATCATTTGGGTAAAAGTGAACTGGCAATATGAGGAACAAGCAGCTAAGGAAGCAGCTGCATTAGCCGCACAGAAAGCTTACGAGGAGTCCATTTTAGCTAACTGTTCCGAAGATGTTCAAGCTGCACAGAAGCTTGCTGCTGATGCTGATGCTGATGCTGCTGCCGCTGTTGCAAAATCAAGAAAGGAAAAACGACAGAAAAGGGCTGAAGAGCTGGAAAATTCCGGTCCTGCTCAAACTGCTGCGGAAGCAACGAAGCAAATGTTAACTAAAAAGAGGCCGAGCTCTAAGATCAACCATGATTTGCTAGAGAAGCTTTTTGATGAAACTGCAATACTTGAGAATCCAAAAAAATGTCGGGAAAGTGGGTGATTCAATGGATGATGGCGTGGTAAGGAGCAGCAAACTTTTTGTTGGTCCTCGTAGCTAAATGCTTCTCAAGTTATTTTTTTTCCTAATATAATTGATTAATTTATTTCCTGGGAACACTTTCAATACTGCAATGTTAAAACACAGTTTTAGTCGTGAAATTCATATTTAACTTACAGAATCAATTTTCGTGCAGAAATTGCTCGTCCTAATGCCATCAAAATGGCACTAATTAATTAGTTGGTTTAAGTAATTACACATTTATATTATGTAGTAATCCATTCGTCATTTGCTACAGTATGTAATTTATAGATTTCCTAACAATAGATCATTGCATTATCAAAACAGGACAACAAAATTATTCCTCAAACTCAAACTTATTACAAGAAAGAACATAATTACAAACATTTATACACGAATTCAAATCCTGAAGCGCCTATTAAATATCAGAAATTCACAGTGCATTACCACAGAAGGGGCAGAATCGGAATTCGCCATCCACTTCCCGGCGACAGAACTGACACTTGAGAACTTCCGGGACATCGGCCGTGGATGACGGAGGAGTTAGAGATTGCGGGAAGAAAAGTTTGCAGTCGTTGCAGTACATCACCGGCTCTTTCCCCGGCCATCTCCATACCGGAACAAAGAAGAGCTTCAGAACCTTCTCGTAGTCGACGAGGTCAGCACGTGATCCGCACGCTATACACCTCCCTACCCCGCTCTTCAATACCTGTCTCGCCTGCTGCTCTAGCCCTCCTACGAAGAAGAAGAACATTGTTTTTTTGTCGTTAGATTTTTTGTTTGCGATTTGCTGAATGGCTTTTTTGGTATAAATTGAAGTTTTTGAACAGAGAGAAGAGAGCTGAAAAAAAGTGGAGTTAAGTTTCTGGAGGATTCCGGGTATTTCGGTTGGCTTGAGAATCAAGTAATTCGTGGATCGTTCTCGATTCAAACTTAAGTCCAGCTCATTAGTGTACTCGGCCCTATAGCCCATTACATGTGCGTAAGTAACAAGGATAGTGTGATGATAATTTATTTACACTAAGTGGCCATTTTTGTGACCTTGTATTTAGAAGTTGGCCATTTGAAGTAAAAAATTAGATACACGGTCTGCATATTAATTTTGAATGAATGGGAAAATCTGAATTTGCCCTTGAATAAATGATTTAGATTTATCATCCGTTAATGTTTGGGGTCGGATTTAACTTTGTCGTTACAAAAATGAGCTAGATTGACTAACAATAAAAGCTTTCTAAACCTTGAGTCTTTTACGAAAGAGAAAAATGATTAAATTTGCCCTTGAACTGGTCCAACTTTGCTCCCTCTAAACCAAATCATCACCATACAAATTGATTCTTTCCACTCTTATAAACATCACCTAAAGACCTCCGACAACACTCATAGAAGGAACAAACAAAAGTTCCACACAAATATCACTCCATTAAGACGAACTATCTCGCACGTTCATCTTTATTATTTTTTCCAATCACTATTTTACCTCCGCAAAAGACCATCGCGCCTCTAGCCTTATTTTATAACCTCGACTGCCATAATATTACTGCAAATAATAGTAGTCGCATTTGGCTTAGCATTAGGAGGTCGATGGGAATCGCTTGCATCACAACTTGGTGATATGAGAAGGATTAACGATAGAGTTGTATAGATGAAGATAAAAAATGAACTTAGTGGTGCAATTGATAATTGTAAGAGTTTCATTTGGGCTAATTTAAAGTGGTTAATTTGAGCTCGCAGATAGACACCTAGATGTTGGAGGTTCTTACTATTAAAGAATACTAGTCCTAAGTTACGCGCTTTGCGCGTGTCATTGAATATACAAATTTTAAATATTATGTAAATATTATTAAATAATGTGTTTTTCGTTATTGAACAAATATTAAAGAAATAAATGTAAGTTCCTAAAATAACGAATGTTAATCTCACTAAACTAGCTCAATAAAAAAAAAAATTCTACTCCACATAAGTTTTTATATGCCATTATTATGATTTATGACGCGTGAAATATCTTATGAAAACTATTGTTATCTTTGTTACCAGTTACTATAAGCATCTAACACAAAAAATACTTTTACCATATTTATTCAAAGATAACAAAACAAATTGAAGAATTTGAATCTTTTGGTATTTTAGAAATTTGTGAGTGATGAGGTAGAACTCCTCATAGAAAAATATTAATAAATAACAATAAAAGTTTAAGTAACTAATATTGAATTACAAAAATATATAATACTATATTAAAAAATATATGGAATTATTATTTATTGGAATGAATATTAAAATAAAGAAAAATGATAACGACACTTTTTTTGAATACCTTTTGTTTTATGTTACGTCCTTAATGCTTCAACTTAGCATGTTTAGCAATCTAATTTTTAATACTATATTATAATGGATTTGCTCTATTTTCTTATTTCTTTCACGGCCATGCTTTTCTAGTGAATTGTTTTTTATGTACCTTAAAAGTTTTATCAACGTGACAAATAATTTTACTTACATAATGATTTTGAAAAACATTGAATTGAATTTTTTTGCTAACTTAATAATTTACTTAATTATTTTTTGAGATTTCATGCTTTTAAGATAGTATAGAAGATTCTCTTTAGCAATTTGTATAATATTTATATAATATTGTTCGCCTTTTTTACTATTTAAAAATATATTTTATATGAACAAAATAGTAATTTGATTATCTTCTTAATATTTAAAACTTCTAAATCAACTAAAAATTTATTTATTATATCTTTCCTTATTTGAATTCTATAGAAAATAACTTTAAAATTAATTAAAATTTTATCTTATATAAATTATTTAATTTATTTATGACACAACTATAACTATACTTTTTCTAATATTTAGGGGGCAAAAAGGAATAGAATAAGCGGATTATTTTCATAAATCTACGTTATCAATTTTCCTTTCCACTAAGAGTATTTGAATTTGTTTGGCCAAAATATCCCCCATAAGTTTCGAACAGAACTTGTATTGAGGACGAGTCTTGTTCGGACCTCCGAAAAATGACTTATCACTACGCTTGATTCCATGCTAAGGCATTTGAAATCTTTGCAATTAGGATACTTCAAAATAATAGACTTCAAAATTTCTAAAAAGGAAAAACTTTATATACATTCCGGAATGTCTTTACAAAGGCCAACGAAAATGGACTCAACAAAATAAATGTACAACATACAAAAACAAAGACAAAAAATCCTAAGGAATTCCCGCCTGATCTTCACCAGGACCTGTCTCGTCACCAGAGCCGTCGGGGCCTTCTTCATCTTCGGGTTCTCCGGAACCTTATTCGGTGTCGGGTTCTGCTAGTTTCTTGGCCTCGACCTCAAGTCGTTTCGCCTCCTTGAGCTAAGATGACAGGTCAAAGCCTCGGGCATGGATCTCCTGAAGGGTCTCCCTCCGGGATAGCCGCCTCACGTACTCAGCAGTAGTCTTCAGGCGAGCCTCGGCTGCTTCAGCATCAGCCCTATACTGGGTCACCATCTCTTCAGCATCATCTAAGGTTGCTTCCGACTTGGACCTCTCCATTTCGAGCTCCTTGCCGAGGGCATCCCCGTTCGGCAATGGCTGAACCCAGTTGAGCTTGAAGGTGCTCGTTTTGTCGAGCCCGAGCATTAGCTTTCTCTTTCGCCACTCGGAGTTGAACATCCACTGATGCCAGCTGTGCATGGGCATTCTCCTTCTCCGAAGCCAGCCGGTACATTTTACTCTTCCAAACATCGGGCATGGCTGGGACCTCATTCATTTCAGCTCGGAGTTGGTCGATCCGGTCAATCTTCTGCTGAACCTGCGAGGTTTTGTCGTTAGTCGCCATGGCTAAGTCTTTGTTGCTAACTTCAAAAAACCTTTACCTTTTCCATAAAGTCGGCATGCTCCTTTTGAGCCGCATCTAGCTCGGCCTGGAGGTTCTTAACGATCCCTTCATGTTGTTCGCTGAGAAGCTTATACATGTCTCTTTTCTCGGCAAGCTCCTTGAGCTCAACCTCGAGCTGGTTAGCCTTAGGACGGTACTGAAGCAGAATCGGGCACTTCCTTCAGTGCACTTGAGCTCCTTGAGCTCAATCTCAATCACTCCGGGCACTTCCTTCAGTGCAGAACCGGCATCCTAGGAAGTTTCACCCCGGGGATTTGCGTTGGCTTTCTGAGTTAGAAGGGGGTTGGTCTCACGAGTCTCCCTCTCGGATGCCACCCAATCCCCGAGATAGGTGGTTTTCCCGTGAGTTACGAAGACAAATTCATCCTCCGGCTCATCCCTAAGCCGAAGGAGGGAGTCGGAGGCAGGCACACGGAAACTGGATCCCCTCCTAGGCTTGCGGAGCACCTGCTTCTTCGGTTTCTTCGCCTCGGAGCTCGGGGAGCCCGAGAGTTTTCTTTTTCTCTTCTTCTTTCCCTCCGTGGCAGCAACATAGGGATCAACGAGCGGGGGCGCATCTTCGTTCCCTTCTAAAGGCCTAAGTTAGGTGGTCTTAGGCAAACCTACAATGATAAAGAGAAGGGGTTAGTATAATATAAGATGGAGACGTAATGATGACTATTCGGAAAGGGACCTTACTATGAGAACGGGCTTCCCATCGACCCTTTAAGAGTTCGCGTCATGTGCGCTCGAAGTAGGATATCTGAGTACAGATGCCCTCGATCCACTCCTTTAACCGGAGGACCGCATTCGGAACCCGGGCAATAGTTGTACGGTCATAAACACAAGTGAAAAGGTCGAAATAAAGGAAGAAGAAATTTTGATGTTAAAAGAAGGAGTTACACTTACGAGACGCATTCCACTTCTCAGGGAATGGAATGTATTCTGAGGGGATCAAATCCTTGGTCTTCACTTGGACGAAGCGTCCCAGCCAGTCCCAGTCACGGTCCTCGTCGATACTAGAGAAGAGGGCTTTGCTGGCCCGGCGTGTAAGCTTGATCAGTCCCCCTCGGAACATCTGGGGACTGTATAATCAAAGCAGGTGGTCGATCGTGAACCGACGAGATTCGGTCTTGTTCACGAAGTTACGGAGGAGAGTCACGATCCTCCACATTGATGGATGGATTTACCGGAGGCACACTTCGTACCTCTTGCAAAAATCAAGGATGATCGGGTCCACCGGGCCCAGCGTGAAGGGATAAGTGTAAATACTTACGTACCCCTTCACATGGGTAGTAACGACGTCCTCGGGCCTGGCGTCTACTACGTCCTTGCCTTCCCAATCGTAGTCTTTACGGACTATGGGAAGAATATCATCGGTCATAGAACATATATATCTCGAGACCCCTTCACCCCGGTCCTGTTTGCGCGAAGGCATCTCGACCTTGAAGTTGTCACTGATTGAGCAGCCCCCGGAGATAAACGCTGACAAAGGAGGCTCGGGGGCGATTCAAGAGAAGCCATTTCGAGGGCCACCACCTCGGGAGCGACCGCTTCAGTACTAGCGGCCGACTGAGAAGATGAAGAGGCAACTTGTTGAGGAATGGTTTTCGATGTTTTTGCCATTGTCATTTGAGATAAAGTTTGAAAATTTGAAGAATAAGCACGAAGTTTTGAAGAAATGGGTTTTGGAGATGAAGAACATGATATGAAGATTTGAAGAAATTTTGGTAGAAATCTGGAGATTGCTATGAAGATTGAAAAACAGGGATGAAGATTTGAAGATTTGATGAAGGTTCTGATAATGGTTGATGGCTTGAAGATAGCGGTTTGATCGGAAAGTAGAAAAAGGACAAAGAAATGAGACTTTTATAGAGAAACAACCGGCGCTCCGCATTCGAAGGCAACCTGTCGGCGAACAGCACGTGTCCGAAGTCAGAACAACTCGATTGATGGGACACTTTGGCTCCCCGTCGAAACATATGAAGGAAGG